CGACATTAGAGTTTGGATTTTATAATTCCTTTCTTCCAATTCCAAAACAGCCGTTTCAGTCTCTAGTCCACCTAAATTTCTTAAAACAGGCTTTAGATAGACCCGTAGAGCTTGTAAAAAAAAAATTAAAAAATTACCAGAGAATGTGGGTGCAAAATGACGTAACAGGGTCGCGTAAATGCCAAGAGATTAGGCAAATTAAAAGATCTCAAATTCATAGCGGTGGGTAATTCATTAAAAACATTCGAATGGAAAAGTTTTAATGATATCCCGAGGGGAAAGAAATAATAAGCGGACAAAAATAAAGAGGGCACGAACAATGAGAATATAAAGCTAACTAGGTTCTCCCAAACTTAATTGTTTTATGACTTGTGAAAAATGGCAAAGTATAAGTCGATTTCACAATGAAATAGATGAAAAAGTTTCCAAACAAACGATTTCAGTTCTTCCAATTACGTACACGTACTTATTATTAAGAACATTTGAGCGCATGCAAAAATGAACAGATTTGTTTACGCTTTTCGTAAACAACGACAAACTGTCTCTCGAGAAGCTTCGTTGACGGCTTATCACGTCTATGTTTTGTCCGTGCTACACCGTGAGGTACCGTAGCAGTTTTGGAACGAGCTATCAAAACTCAAAAGAAGTATTGTTTGGAGCGCTTTTTGCTGCAACCCATGGTTGAAAAAGTTGAACATATTTCCATTGCAATGCAAGTGCTTTCTTTGTGATACCAAGTCCATAATAGTTGAGTACCGCTCAGAGCTTTAAATCGCAAAGATCAGGGCACTGCCACTGCGCCCGACACCCTGAGACATAAGTTGAAAAGTCCCATGTGCCTGTAATTTCACCAGCACTCTTATCCATCAAAACCGAAACGAAGCAATGTGAGCATTACTGCTTAGAAGTTAGTGACAGTACTTCCATGGATTAACGTTTCACAAGTAGCCCTACTGCTACTAAATACATAAGAGATATCAGTGTATTGACACTTCTCCTCGATGTTTAAAGACAAGTGGTCATCCACTATTAAACTGGAGTTAAATTACGAGTCGTTTGCACCAGATTCGTTGCCATAAAGAAATTTATTAGAATGACTGCTTCAACACATGTGCAATGTTAACAAATAATTCACAAAAAGAAATTTAACTGGCACAAGGACCTTTTAAATATAATTAACGAAATTACTTTTACGTGAATAAATATTAGCATTTAGAAACAAAATTGAATTGTAATTGACTGTAGAAAACAAATGTAAACTCCATTATTGTTTGCAAGTTCATTTGCAGGTTAACTTTAATGTTATTAAGGTTATTTGCTAGAACAATAATTGCACAGATCATAAGTAAACAGATATTAAGTAACGTTTTCTGTAAATTGCTTTCTATCCGAAATCTCTTGTGAAAATGGCTTATGTACCATTGCCATCAAGCAGATGTGGCACAGACGGTGCTTTGGCACCATAAAAATAAAGAAAGCAATAAGACTCGAATGAAACGAATACATTTTTAAAACTGACACAGGCCCCCAGGGTGTGGCGACCTCACGGAAATGTGTGAATATTTTATACGTACTACCAGTGACCTTTGAGAACTTACTGCAGACTTCGGAGCAGGACAAATAAAAAAAGACATATTCGTTTATTTATAAACGAATATAAGTCTTAATAAAGTTAGAGATGGTATTCATATTTAAGCACGTAAGCTTGACGTTGCTATTTAACTTATTTCATAGAAGAACAACAGAGATAACCAAAAATCATAACACCATTGTCTTGTATAGTAAAAGTAATTTAAATTTATTCAACATAATAATGATTTCATTCAAAAGTACAAGATAAGCATAACTCTACAATATCTCTCGTTTAAATTCAACAACGTAAGCAAAGTGGCAACTTGTGTTACAAAGACAATCTGAACTACGAACAGTGGGCAGCTGTTTGCTCTAGTAGTTTAGTTTGACTGTCCAATGAGACAGGGCCAGCTAATGGAACGGTATTTACTATGCACTCATTTATATATTCCTGGTGAGAAATAAAGATAAAGCAGGAATATACTACAAAAATAAAACAGTGTTTGTGCTATATCAGGCTATATATACCTCACTGGCTGATCTACGTTTTTGGTTTTTAACGACTTTTTGCCGTAGCGCCATCTGTGAGAAATCTATTTCTTCAATAAGCCGGGTAGGTACCTTTACAGCTACCAGCAACCGACTAGAGATGTCGCTTTAATCATTGTAATTTTTAAGTTTTATTTAATTGCTTTTGTGAAATTATTCCACTAGGTTCTCATAATTATTGATACAAAGATCGAATACTTAGAAAAAAGGCTTACTTGGCACAGCGTATGGCACAGTTTTGCTCGACGTTGTTTCGGATCCAGCCAGATCGAAGGAATTTTATAAGTTTATTTTGTAAGTGTTCCATCATTGTATTAAAAATTATAACAAGTTGAGTAATTTCACAAAAATAAATAAATATCACGGTGGTCAAACAACGTGATATTCAATTAACTTAAAATGTTATAGTTCTTGTCATAGCAAGTGATTATTAGTAACCAGAACTGCATGAAAAGACCTAGTGACTTGAGCTCATATTTGGAATCGAGCTTCGGTCATCCACAACTAATCAACATTACTTAAATGGAACGAGTACTGCGTACTCAAAATATTATAACTATAAGCTATTGAAGTTTAATCGTTTAAATAAATTAACTTACCTATTGAAATGTGAGACATATACATACCGATGTCACTATTTCATCAGAAAAGACAATAAATTGGCAAATTCAAATGGCGTCCATAATAAACAATGACGGCCCAGCACCCTACCTTGTGGAACCCCTATTTATTTAGGGTGAAATGAAGTTGGAAACAGCTGAAAGTTGTGCAATCCGGGGCAATAAATAACTTTTCAGTTAGACAGTGCCGGGGATCCGGTAGGCGGGCACTAGAGACAAATGGATTCCTGAAAGCCGTTTTAAACGATCCGAGAACGCCTTGGCTAATTTAAGCCTATCTGTTGTTGAATGCTTGTGATTTAGATATCATTCTATTAACATACAGATGAAGTAAATTTGTATGCATGTAGTTTTATTTAAAACGGTAAAATTTTTGAGACTTGCCAGCCGATGTGCGGTGATTGGGATAAAGGAGACCCTGCTACATCGAGTATATATATAACCAGAAATAGAAGAATCAGTTTTAAATATCAACTCTCGTTTTGCGCTGTAATCACATATTATAAAACTGAAATAGTACCGCGCCAACAACTAACCTGTGTTGTTGTCTCCGTATATTCCAAAAATATTCCGTATTTATTGTAGCAAAGTTAATATCTCTAACAATTTGAGATGCTCCATTCGGTGGTGTGGGAAAAACAACAAAACATATAATTACAAAACAAACGAATCATACTTCATCGGTAATTAAATAAGTAATTTTTCAATTTTCGTCCGTTATAGCAAAGCTCAAGTTAAACTGGCCGATTTGAAGTGAAACAATGGGGGAATTGATGGGCAATTGTTTCGAATTCGGGATAGCCAATCGGAACGCAGTTGTCACCGTAATGATGTGGCAGTTTTCAAACAAATTAAATGACATTTCGTCTCTATTTCTGATCATATATTCATATACCCCTACTATTAGGCGAAAGAATTTGCGTTTGAAAGTTTGAACGAAAAAAAATTAAAATTCTTCAATATTTTGTTTTAACACTCATAGACCCGCACTAGGGAAACCCTGTATCGCGGCTGCCATGGACACAATCACATAAACAATAAAAAATTACACCCAAACTCACGAGAGAAATGAATGTAAAAAAGGAAATACAAATATTTCTCCCAGCTCGCGAAACTAACTCGGGACCTCTGCGTGGCAGACCAGCATGGTAACCGCTTCTGCCACGGAGGCAGTTCACGTATTTCAGTGACCTCGAATTGAATTTATAATTAAAAGAATTCCGAAAAGAGAATGTTAAGGTAAATGCTTTGAAAACAATGTTTAATGTCCACCAAATATGACAACGATTAAAACTAGGTAAAGATCAAAAAGATCTAAAGCATTGAACAGTTATGTCGTTGAAGTATTCAATAATCATTTACGGGAGTTCTAATACGAATACGCGACAGATAATAAGTATACACTACAATGTACAGTAGAAAAAGGCTGACTGTTTATATTCACTAGACAAGCAAGTCTGTGCCTAGTGGTAAGCTACACGTCTGTCTATAACAGTCGCAGTGCCACTTAGAGCTTCAAATTGTAAAGTTCTGAGGGAAACTGCCACTGCGCCTGTCACCCTAAGACATAAGTTGACAAGTCCCATAGGCCTGTAATTTCACCAGCACCCTTACCCTTCAAAACCGGAACGAAGTAATGGTTACATTACTGCTTGGCGGCAGAAATAGGTAAGGTGGCAGTGCTTCTCAGGACGAACTCTTTCACAACTCATGAAATTACCCTATTTCTGGAAGAATTATACACACTGACTGCAAGCATAAATTTGAATTTTGAACTTTACGGTTTTAGTATTTAATTCTTGGTATTTATTTTTCAGTTGTAAAATTAAAGTGTTAAGTTTGACAATATTAATCTAGAAATGATTTACTTATCATGAGCTAAAGAAGATCTATTACTTTATTATCTATTATTGATTTGTCGATAACTTGTAACTGTTTGGTTGATGTCACAACTTCGAAACAAGTCAATCTAAACAAAAGTCAAGATTATGGTCACATGTAGGTTAACTGTTTTGAAAATTAAACGCGCGTGCAAGAACGTTACGGTCCTATGTTAATTGATTAGGTTAGGCATTGAACAACTAACTTCTTTACAGTCCATTGGCGTTATGCGAAAGAAAACATGCAAAAGATTTAATATAAATAAATGTACAAATTAATGTACATTACCAAGATTAGTAGTTAGTAAAAGTCTCCATAATCCCCCATTATAAGGAATGAAAGAACACCCCCATTCAAGATATGGTCCTTCGATCTTACGTCATGGATATTCTGCGTAGGATCATGGATGAGGTCACCGTAGCGATCCACGCGGACCGCAGAGTTCGGCAGCGGCGTGTGACACTCCGTATCGAAACGAAACTGACCCTGGCACCACACAAAAAATAGCGTACCAACGTTACACGTACACGTGTGATTGTTACATTACAGGTGCTTTAAGTGCCGTGGAATTCATTCGTTCTAGAACAGGCAACGGGTGGCGAAGTGACAGAAAGATTGAATTCCACTATAACAAATACAAAAGCAGAACTCATTAAACTGAGGAGCAAGCGGCGCGACATGCTTACACGCTTGCATGCTTCAATATCTACGAGCAGGGACGCATGCGCGGCGGCCACTTCTCGCGCTTCGTCAGCCATGCGCCTTCCTCTAGGCGTCGCGTCTTCTTTGACAACTACGCATGCTTCTTCAGTTTCTGTCGGCTTGGTATCTTCTTGCGAAGCGTCAATAGGAGTTTCGGGGTCGGAGGGATTTTCAGGAAGGGTTTCAAGACCAGGAAGCTGCGGGATCTCAGCGTTTTCAAGCTTGGGAGCGTTCTCGCTCACCCTTTTGTGGTTCTCCGGCAAACTGATGTTGCATTCGTTGTCAAATCGGAATTGACTCTGTCCATGGTTAGCAAGGGAACAAATGTTTATACTGTTAAAATGCAGACAGGAATTTCGAATTCATGTAATAAGTATTTAAGAAATTTATAGTAAAAACGAATATACTGTCTTGGATACTTTTAATTTAATATTAATTCAGTATGATCATGGTCTCTTTACCTTTACGATAAGAAAATAAGTTAAAAAATAAATTTCTTCCTTTAATAGCTATCAGCAGCCGCCAGGTAATCACAGCTCTCTAATGTACCTTATAACCGGGCCCGAGGCGGTGCATGGCGCAGATCTGGTGCGTGGTGAGCGCTTCGCCGAAGAGGTAGATGGCGGCCATCTGCCCGCAAAACACCCTCTCCTCGTCCAGCTCTGCTGTTGCGCCGATGTAGCACTTGTCAAACGGCTGGAATAAATGAGAGTTATTACTCTATGCGTTAGTTAATGCATCAAAAGAGTGAAAAACCAAACCGAGTACATTTTCATTTGCTTTTTTAACACAATCATGATAAAACTAGTATAATTTATTGTACTTTCTGTGTATGTTACATCACTATTAGATCTCAAAATCTAGAAATTTTCGATTATCAGATCAAAAGTGTCGGAAATCGAAACATTGTTTCTTTCGTAAGTATACCCAGAGTTTCTCTAGGTACTTACTTCTGTTCCATTTGCTGTGTTTGTAGTTAAAGCGACTGAATGTCGTACAAATCTATTTTTAACCTCTCAATCCCAGTAGTACAATCTGAAACCCACAATATTCCCTTTTGATATAGTAACATTTTGGAAAGCAAATACAAAAACGGCAATTAATTAATTGAACAAAGCTGCCCGGGGGTTATTTCGGCGGAATTTAATAAAAGCCAATAAAACGTTGGGCATCTTTTGCTGGCGGCGGAAAAATATTTTGCCTGATTTTAGATTTTTTATTGCTGACCTTTCTGGTTGCCGGATATAGCCCATTACAAACATTAATGAAAAATTCTATTAATTAAGTTAATTAAACAAAGCGTTATAATGCTACCTGGTCTTAATTGAACTGAATCCTATTTTCAGAATAACATTAAGGCGCCATTTTGAGTATAAAATATCTATGACCACCCCAGTCAGATGTCAATCTTTTGGTCAAATTTTCGGTGCTTTTATCACATGCTAAGATAAAATTAGATAAGAAAATACGTATCGAAATTTTATTGTATAAGATTTCAAAAGCATTTTAAATTTACTTTTATGGGTCACGTAAGGAAAACTACAAATAGTATAAGGAGAGTCAAGAGTCACTCCGTATCAAATCATACATTTTTGTTAGTAATCAGCAGCGAAATCACAAAAAGCATTGTTATTCCAACTGATTTAATGAAACAAATCATTTTGTTCAATTAATTAATTGATTTGTAGTTGGCAGTACAACAGGTCTTCACCAAAGTGTCTATAATCGGGTCAGTGACCTGTCTGTTTACTTTTTCTATATAATGGATTGAAATGAACTATAGAAGTAGCGATTGACATCATCGTGCGCATGTCTTCACAAAGCGATCAGCTTTTCTGGTTGAAGCGGGTCTATAAGAAAACTATGGTAAATTACATCACGACTGGACGACTAAATATAATACTATACGAGTATTACAATTTTCCGTGGGTAAGTTTCTTTTTTGGACACTGTTTAGACTTGTGGGAAGAGTTCAATCATGAAGATGACACTTTTTCAAGTGTAAAACAAGTTTATCATTAAGATTTTATAAGATTCAATGAGCATTTCCCGTTGTAATTTGGACAATTCGTGTCATACCCATTTCTCTAATTTTCTTTATTTTTACAAATAGTGGCAAAAGCCTTGCTGCTGATTTTAATTTCTCTGTAGTTTCCGTGGGATCGGTTTCAACAATAGTTCGCAACTCATCGTTGTTCACCTTAATTTTTTTTTTTAAATTATTGCTGGCCATGGAAACAAAGTCCTTCAGCCGAAAACATCAACGTTTAATTATATTTCTGTAAATATGGCCACCACAAAGAGGATAGGCAATTTGAGGCGACGTGCTTGGATTGACTTCGAACGGGATCCTCTTCGAATTGGGATTCCTTAGAACGGGCCAATACGGGTATTTTAGTTCGAAATTCGTATAATTTCGTGTTTTAATCTTCGATTAAGGCACAATAGCACTATCCTATTCCACTTTAAACTAGATTTCACAAAATAATTGAAAGTTAAAATAAAAACGGCACTTTTCTCTCCAAAAGGCCCAGAGCGAATCTGTTCACCTTAAGCTCTCTACGATTTGCCAGGCTAAAATGTCCACTGCATAATCGGCCAAATTAAAAACCCTCAGGGCGTTCGTTAGTTGTGTCCGCGCCATTCACGTCGTTAATGTTTTGCGTCATTTATGCCGCATTAGTACCTAAACAAAATTCAATTAAAAATCTACACAAATTTTACCAGCACCTACCCGCATTTGACTTCAAAGCGGTTGCACAATTTACCAAAACGAAGACAAACGACTAACGCTGAAATTTTAAATTTAAATAAATGACATCTATCAAAAATAAATCTAATGTGATTTGGTTGCATTTCAAAGCAGATTTGTGCCTGATCGGTCCTTAAACGGAGCGATGTTACCTAGTTCAATAGCTCAACTGAACTAAGTCGGTCTTCTAGTTCGTTTGATACATCTAGTTCGTTAGTTCGTCTTGTCCTTGCTCGGATAATGAACGAACGCTCTAAACTAGTTATTTTATTCACATGAACTACTACGAACTTCCAATGTTATGAGGTCAATAGTACACTGTACTAAACATTTAAAAATACAATTTTGTATGGAATCGCTATTATTAGATTTTCCTATGTACCTTGCAGGTTTAAGACTGTCATTCTAAATAAATATCTTTTTTACAAAATGCATATCCAATACAATAATGCAATAACGTATATTTTAGTTAGAATGGTGTAATACTTACTTTTCTAGAAGCTTACATGTATAATGTACGTATTGTATATAATGTACGTATTAGAGTACTTAAAACGAGCTGGAATATGTTCAGTCGTACATCTCACTTGAACTTGTACTAAAAGCAGTAAAAGATTGCTAATAGTCCCTACTGAATAAAAGACGAATAAATGACTATTAACGCAGACAGTTTCTAGTTCGTACCTACTGAACCAAAATATCGATGAACTATAAAGACCGTGCAAGATGAACTAGTTCATGTCAGTCAGTGTCGGGAATACAAATTCCTAATAATAAAAAAAAAGTGTTCATGAACTACTCAAGCCTATCGAGTTCTTAGGTTTTCGCAATTGTGATTGTTACACATAGGAAATGAACCAATTTTTCCGGATTTAAATCGCGTCAGTCAGTCAGTCAACCATAACCATGGGACCTTTGAAGGGCCCGAAACGTCGGTATGTTTGAAAAACAAATACACGCGATTAAAATCCGGAATTATAGTTCCATTTCCTCTTCAAGCCTATTTCAAACTGACCAGGTGCCTTACCTTGAACTCTTATTACAGTTCTGTATAGGTTCGCAACGACAACAAAGCGGGATGGTGATATACACTTCACGTAGCGCTGTTTATTTTAGGTCCTAAACTGAATCGTAATAAGAGTTCATGGTAAGGCCCCAGAGCAATGTCGTACTTTAACCCCTATTTATTTATTCTGTACCCCAGATTATAAAGTATAGAATAGAATTAGGATTTCAATTCTAATCTGTATTTAGAATGAATTGAAAGTGTAACGTTTTTATAGGCGCACCTTTTTTAAAAAAACATACCGATAATATGACAGACGAAAACTGAAATTGTAGTTTTTTTCAATGCGTAGAAATGCTGTAAGTACAAGGGCAGAGCACACAATTTTACTGTAAAGGCTCGCGTTACCGACGCAAGCCTTATTACCGTGTATATAAATTTGACTAAAACACAGAAAAACATCAGAGAAACAAGTCCTATTTACACTCTTCTGGATTGAAAGCACAAGTTTATCGGCGAAATAATAAGGTATTGTGTCCTGGATATGAACGAGGTGCTGTCTTTGATCTCTCGACGCCATTACCTTTTGAAACGACGTTGATTGAAGTGTTTCATACGATACTTTTCCTGGAATTATTTCCGTAATTACCTTTATTAGAGTTTTATTTATATTTTTCTTCTGAGAACTGTACATTAAAAATGAAGAGAGAGATTTCTATTTCATTCATTTGTATTTTTATCAATTTCTTCGAATTTAGTACCGAGCACTATCAATAGAGTGCATTAATTGTATTCTAAAACACACTAGCACGTTATTTGAAAATTAGTATAATGTGTTTAGTGAATTGTAAGGGATTGTGATGGCAAAGACAGCAATGACTCAACTAAGCAAGTAATGAGAAACAAGAATATCAGAAACAGAAGCAAAATACATCTAATTTTCACACTAGTACTCTCCATCTCTCTACATGGTGCAGAGACATGGACACGCAAAGTTGCCGGCAGGCTGAGACTTGTCGCCTTTGAAACGTGGCGCTGGCGCCGAATGTTAAGAATGCCGTGGACCACCCGCCGCACCAAAGCCTCTGCACTTGAGGACGTCAAGATAGAAAATGTGCAGCGTCTATCTTCAATCTGTATGCAGCGTCTAATACGCTAATTTGGTCACGTAGAGGATGCTGATAATCTGGAGCGTTTAATGGTGATAGGGAAGGTGGAAGAAGAGACCTAGAGACAAGAACCTGTTCGGAGCTACCTGTCAGCGCCGCACTCCACAAATCCTCAGCAGTAAGGAAGCGATTAAGAAGAAGAAGAAGGAATTCATCACTACTTCCATCTCTGTGGGACAGCTAGTACACACAACAGTAGTTACAGCACTACAGCACAACATTGATAGATGATTATAGTAATCGTATATTTCTTCACGAAATATATACGCAAACATATCTGAACACGTAGAATCATTTCGACATATGTTCGGGTAAGAGTTACTCATTTGTGAAAACTATGTGCACGCACGTCCGCCGGCGATCGAGTAAATATTCATATAGTGCCTGCTCTTAACCCTCAGTTAGATAGACGTTAGACGAGAGGCAGGATGAAAGACACATTAGGTGTGTACGTGCGTGTTTTCTATAGAGTTAATGTAAGTAGTTCTCAAAAATATGAAATTTTTGAAAATGGATAACCGAATCGGGCACACCAGTGAAGCGGAAATATTTAGAAGTGCAAATTCAAACAAATGGCGTTTCTGGGCACAATGATTAATTTCACAATTGCTAATGAAACATATCGTATTATATACACTACACCAATCCCAATTTCATTGACGTCCGCAACAGGATCACGCACAATCAGTTAATCTACTGTGATTGACAGGTACATGTTTGAAGCGTTGACAAATGACATGATAAATGGCTACATTGTCACGGGTATCAAACGAAATTTGAAATTTTTTAAGTCACTTAAAATGAATTTTAATGATGGATTTAAAGATGGGCAGAAAAGAAAAAAATAACAAATTTTACTTTGGAAGGACGATTTTGTAGATGACATCTTGGTAATGAGTTACTTTTATGATTCAATTATATATAAGTTTGTTGCAATCAACAATATCACCGGTACATGAAAGATGGTCTCTTATTTAACGATAGTGTGTCAGGCTTACAATGCCAAGATCTACAATGAAAAGTGTGAAATGAAGAACATTTTTTCATTTCTTATCCAAATTCTCTCCCACTTCACTTCGTCAACTTACAAGGTATTCTATATCACAGGAGCTTGACTTTCCCATTCAAAAGAAAGTACGACTTAACGCTCATTTTTATGTTCGCCGCGTACTCAAGCATTCCACGTGGCGTACAAGATAATAAATTGCTACTAACGACACACACGTGACACCTTGCACGGCGGTGCGCGGTGCAGATAGCTGAATATATTACATTCAGCGAAGCGTCGAGTTATGGGGACCTGGTACCTCAGGATTAAGGAGTTTATGCAACGGCTTACAAACTAGCTTCGACGTGAAAGGGCTTAAAGCAAGCCTTTTATGCCCGTGTCAATGGCTAAGAACGCTATTCATCTACTATTAATTCGGATAAACCTTTAATAGAGAGAGAGACTATTGTAAGTTCTAACGTAGGCTTAGAGACGAATTTCGAAGGACGCAAAATAATGCGTGCGTGTTGACTTGTGGATATGAAATACGTGGGCATTAATCCAGGCAAAATTGCATCATTAAACGCAGTCTAAAACTAAATAAAATTAGCTCCACAACGTACGTCAACGTAGGCAATACTTCTAATTATTCTCAAAAAGTTTAAAAGCCTGTTATAATTATTAATTCAAAGATCGCAAACGCAAAGAAAAATTCGATCTGTATGCCAAGCTAAAAGTGTTTGTTACAGATCTTTGTGTTGGATTTTTTGAGCTTCATCGCCGTAACCGACACTTGTGAGAGATTTATGAAGCTTCTCACTCAGCCGGTTCCTTTGCAGCTACTAAAGTCTGACGTGAGATGTCGCTGCATCAATTGTAATACTTATTTTTATTAAATATCGTGATGCTTTACTACCGTGACATCCATTTATATTAAGTGAAATTATCCCACTGGTTTCTTATAATCATAATAAATATAATTATACGATGATCAAACACAAACCAATTTGTATTAATAATTACAACATCTTTGGATCTTTGTACTCATTATTATTACAAAATGGAGGAGTAATTTCACAAAAAAATAAGTGAACATCATAGTATTAAAACATCATTCCATTTAATAGAAATCAACTTAAAAGTCATATTACTATCACGTGAGTTTCGCTCCGCAAGCGTAAACGAACTGATAGTTTTTGCACTGACAATCAATGACGGAAAGGCTTGCCACATTTTTGGATTCCACGCGAAACAAGAATTTGTTTATTAAAGCCTTTGATGCCATCGACCCATGAGAGCAAATACCAGACAGATTTGCAAAGCGCTAACTTTTTGACAGGTAAAATACTCTTCGAACATTGAACACAGAAAATTGCTGACTATTTGTAGATACGCAATATTTCATAAATAAAAATACACTAAGGTATAAACACTAAGGTGAACTTTTGTTTTCAATAAGCCTAAGTACTTTACTCACATCGTTGGTAGAGACGAACCAGGCCATCTCGGTGCTAGAGGCGAGCTGGCCGTTGACAAGGCACTTGATCTCGCTTTTGGTCCATCGGTTGTATATGTACACTACCGCTATCGCGTACCACCTGCGTAAAGAATCAAGTAATCGATACTAATCATAGGTTGTATAAACAGGAAAGAAGATTTGACTTGAAAAACAAACCATCTTAATCTGTCACATAATTATATTCTTAAAGACTAACCGCGTAAAGCAGACTAATAATCTATGGATCGGTTTACAATTCGGCAGAACAACTATTTAACACGATGCCAGCCTCTGGTTTTTTATTTCCATCCAATAAGATTCCTCACTCTTAATAGCTTGGACGTGATTACTGCATTTCGGTAGATTACACTCAAGTCGATGGTATTTCGAATTGTCAATTGGAATTCCGGAGCCCAAATTTACGTTACGGTCCTGTTTGCTAAATTTTATTCCCTCCATGTTGTTGAGGGATGAAAACTCGAGAAGCACTCACCTCCTAGGCTGGAACTCATATTTGACGCAGTGTTGGAAACCCTTCCCCCGCACCTTCATCGAGGTGAGCACGAGGCAGTTGCCCACGAAGTGCGCTGTGTACCCTACGCCTTTGCTTGTCTTGAAGCTGCAACAAAGTTCAGGTGTTGTTTAGCTATCTAAAGACTACAACGCTGAAGTTCCAAAAAACCATAATCCATATAGCAGATCAAACGTCTCTTTTACGACATATAGTGATGGAACAAGCAAATCGTGCACCTAGTTGTAAGCAGCACGCTTACACTATTACAGTTACACTGCCACTCAAAGCTATGAATCGCAAAACACTGAAGAGCAGTGTCATTGTACCCGTCACCCTGAGACATAAAGTCCCAGGTCCCAGGTACCTGTAGTTTCACCAGCACCCTAATCCGGCTAACTGCTTAGGGACTCGAATGTGTATAGCGAATGAACTCTTTCACAAGAACCTGTAATGCTATTAAACCAATCCATATTATGGACATTTACAATCAAATAATTGCATCCTTACAGAATTGGCAGCATAAAGACAATGGAATGGCTAAGAATAGGATAGCTATAGGTACCGATGAGGTTTTTCGATGATGTTTGTATAAGTACGGTGTACTGTTATCAGTACAATGTCAGTAACAACTCTAAATGGTTGTCACGAACACAGAAACAAAGTCATCCACAAAAAACTATATGTTGCAATTAGTAGATTTTATTTTCATCCCGGTTACGAAGTGGAAACATCTGCAATCCACTTCGTATTCAAAAAACTTTTTTAAAAAACTAGAGTGATAAATAACACAGCAAGCTTTTTTGCTGGTCCAAGAGATGTATTTACTTGGCTGATTACGTATATAAGTCGAGGTACCTACGTAACGTTTTGCGCAATGACCCGTATTCTAAATGAACGAAAAATACTTCCAAGGAGACAGACACCATACTTATTAACGTGAAATCGGCTTAACCTAGTTTGAAAAAGCTTTATGTCCCTACATGTTCGTATCAACGATTTGAGCGGAAGAAAAATGCGCAACGTCTTTTTCACTCTTGTTACTGTCACAACCCACATACTAACCCTAATACCGCATGGATTCTATTCTTGGTGTTTTGTATTTAGAGTTCTCCACCATCAAGTGTTAATAAATCAGAGAAATTCCCAAACAGTTGGGAATATTACTCTGTTATCCTGGTACTCCACATAATCGAAGTAGTGATACTAGATGTGGAATGATACATTTCATATCCCCGCTTCCCCGCTGCGGCTTATTCAACAACTTTCATCATATTGGAGTGGCACTTAGTGTTTCGAGTACAGCTGCAATTGCTCTATGATATCCCGCTAGTTTTGGATCTATTTCCGCAGCGAGTGAAACTGTGTCTGTAGTAGTCTGGGGCTATCTGCCTGCAGAGCGAAGTTTCCATTGCTTTAGAGTATTGAGAGAATAGTCTAGTGAATCAGTTCAGTCACTGATATTTTGTTATTTAATTTATTTCCTATATATGTATTTATCTGCCAACCAAATTTAGCTCAGTATTTACAGAGTTTTAATGACTATTTACAAAAACAACCTCTAGAGTTTCTCAAACATTCTTGTCACGGGCTTTACAAATGTGTTTACTTAATGCGATGATTTCAAACGTAATTTGCTTGCCTTTTAAGACTACCGCTATAAATGAAGATATTTATGAAATTGAATTCGGACTAAGAGAAAGGTTGTAATCAGGAGTAGCTAACAATTAAACTTACCAATACAAGTAAGGTTTCTCCCGTTCAATGTTGACTGAGTTGATGGGGTCGAGCCGGAACCACGTGGTGAATGTAAAACCGTTCTCGTACGGCCACCGGGCGAGGGGCGGAAGGACTACCGCCTGTAACAACATCAACATAAATAATTATAACAATCAGAAAAATTAATTAGGAATTCCTTCTTAACCAAGCGAAGGCAAGCTTTCAGCGGGTGACGATGATCATGTGTATGCTATTCCCGCTGCTGGTAACTGTACCCCTAAACTTCTGAAAGTTATGCATCTAGAACAACTTCGTAAGTTAACTAAAAAGTGACATGATAAAAAAACCTTTTGAAGACAACGTAGTTGTCATCGACCTTTTTTGCAACAATATATTTTCGGTAGACATCCTATCTCTGCGGCTGAGCACCGAACGTAAAAACTTATCCTACGTCACACTTGCAGGAGTGTTGATAAAAACTGTACTACTCTTATTCTTCTATTGATTATCAAGACCTTTACGCATGTTAAAGTCATTTGAAGACGCTAAAGAATCTTTTAAAAAATCTTTATCAATTAAACTTTGCTACATTTACAAGAACGCAAACAAACTTCAAACCTCTCATTATGAATTAGTAGGAAATGAAAAAAATAATAATACTTGGTACTTGGTGTAACGGACTGGTGTCCACAACTCGACGTCAAGGCGCCTATTTTGCGTGAAAAAATAATAATTAAAAAAATACAGTTGACTAATCTTGTAGTGTCCAATTAGACCTAAAATGAAACAGTAAAATAACCGGCCAGACTTTAAAAAACATGGCATTATTTTGGGGATTTTATTAGTGTTCCGCTATATGTGCCGGCGTGTGTACTTCTGTCCAAGTTTTAGTGAAAAATATAGGTATATATTGAAAATATAATGACATTCAATTCCGAGCGTTGATTTACAGGGTTATTTGTAAAATACTAACAACCTCCCAGGATTAGATCACCAAAGAATGACATAACGACCTGTCCTGCGCCGCTTGCATCCAGCGGATTCCCGCAGTCTTCACCAGATCATCAGTCTACGGTCTGCCGCGTAGTGTAATAAAAAAAGTTACATACAAAAATCGTTGTTATCTTTATTTGAGAAAACGTGAAAATGAGTGAGCGGAGTTACTACTGGGTGCCATTGATCATTATAAAAATTTACAAAAAATTTAATAATGGCAATAATTCTATAGCTACGTAGATAAATCTTTTTGTTCTTGGTTGTTGAAGGTTACCGGTTCAGCCGTTACAAGATTTTGTATTTGATAAGTAGAGACTTTGAGGAAATTTGGAGGCAGGATTAGGAAGAGAGAGACAGAGAAAAAAACGATCCGACTAGGAAATACATGAACAAAAAAATACATAAGTATTATGAGAAATATTATATACTTATACATAAGAGCTACGCCCTAAAACACAATTCGTAGATGTTAGTTGAAAAGCCGCCCGCCACAGCCAGAAATGGAACTGGGTCAGACACGTCTGTTGCATGTTAAGCGAGCTGCGGACAAAGACCCAACGCAAGCCGGAGATGTGGAAGGCCTATAAGGTGGTGTGATATGAGATCTTCGTCTTTAAGGGCGTTGAATCGCAGTGTGTGGAAGAAAGGAAGAGAGGCCTTTGCTCTCTGCAGTAACGGCTGAAAAATGAAATGAAACCGAGCTACGACGGAGTTTCTCTTCCTGTCACCTCTTGCTTTGAGTAGCATCATATTCGATAGATGAGAGAAAGGTATCTCAACGCGCGCGAATTTTGTCTCCATTTTGTCTCCTCATGGCCAGCCTCGAAACATCTTTAAGTTGTCGTCATGATCTCATAAAACCATCACAAATAAAGTGTACGAAACAGCGACAAAACAATTTCATAAGTACCAGGACTGCACGAAAATAAACAGTCGTGACAAAATATTCGCGGAAATACGATTATAATGCTCCCATATAAAATATCACGGGTCGCTTCCACGACCCTTATTTTTTGTTTCGCGGAAATTTCAAGGGAAATTTATGCAAAAAGGATATTTATCCGGTTCACAGTGTTTATCGCTCGTCATCTGTACTTATGTTTGCGCGGTAATCTGTGCTTACGTCGCGTTTATAAATGACGAACAATATTCCAGGAGCACTTTTTTACGTGAGATGGTATTTCAAATTTAGAATACAAACAAGACTTAAATTTAGGGCTGGAAGATTACGCATTACATCGCCTGTTTCAATATCTTTTGTGAAATACGTTGTAACACAGCGGATGGGCCATTTCTGTGCGAACTGTGGCACTTACATTATTCAAGTAGGTGTATAGTTATTCTATATGCTGCATCAAAATTGTACAGGTGAAAAATTCATCTTCAAAAATGAAATACACTAAAAAGTTTATCGATGCAGGTTATTTTCCCTAGATGAATTTATTCAACATCTTAACCAATTTATCCGCGCTGTAATTATTAGTTCTCAACCCAATAAAGAAAATCCAGGGCGAATAAGATAAATAGCGAGGCCACGTCTTACAGACGTACCAGGCAAACAGAAACAGACAGAAAGCGCGTCAGCCTGACGTCAGATCTGCCGGATAAGCGCGACGGAGAGAAATGGACTGCCCGGGACGACGAGATAAATAAGAAAAACCTTCGTGCGTCTTTCGGAAGGGTTCAGAACAATTTTGAATGCCACAGCTGTGCGGAACCTTTGTTATTTATTGTCATAGGCATAATATAGACAATAAAAGAAAATCGGTGAAATAATCGTTGAACCAACCAACCAAAATTGGTCTGTTTAAGTAAGTCGACTTCTTTAAGAGAAAAATAAATACTGTGAGCTTACTGTGAAAATAAAGACGAAAAGCAGACATGTTATGATGAAGAAAATGCCTATACAGAAATCAATGAACTGCGCGGATATTTTAGACTTACTTTTCATATATTGTGGAACAAATGACGATATTTCCATGTAAACGTCAGGAACCCTAAAAGCCGGACAGATCTCCCAGTATGTCCCGCGGATTATGCGCGGCAGTGTTTGAATAAGAATTGCCAATAACGAGGGGAGGTCGTTTAAACGACGCTCGTACGACCTACTGGTTGTCTGGTATCGTGATCTCCCAGGGGGAATTGTTTGCAAAGCGGAAAAAGAAAAAAATTACGCACTGAGATAGTTTCATAAAATCGAAATTGCTGAGTCAATTCTGAAATAAAACAGTGGGTTAGTAGTGTTAAACTTAATAGGTTAAGTTCATTGACTTACAAATAAATGGACGACGGGTCTAATACAAAAACCACGAAAAAAATGTTCCAAGTCAACCTATTTAAACGTAGTAACATGTCAAGGAATATGAAAAAGCTAAAACGTTGAATTTAAATTGTAATGTCATCGCAGTACTGTCTAATTTTGCTTGCTTCGCAGTCAGTCGACCAAACGAAGACTAGAGCGTGAATGACGCTCTGTATACGATTTGAACGCCCTATAAGTTCGGACACTTTTTAGCGCGGACCCGACGTCCATATAATTGTAAGTCAATGGTTAAGTTATTAAAATTTGTTACGTGTTTTAGACAACCATGTCATTGAAATTGCGAGTAAAAGCTAGTTATGAAAAACAAAGTACGTATACGTCATGCGTTATTTATTATTTAAAGTAATTGCCAGAAATGGATGTGCATAATAAATTAGACGGCGGGTTCCCGGAGGAATTAAAAATCTCAATTAAATAGACTGGCCTAATACATTCCTTTTATGAAAACGATGATAACAAAGAAACAAAGGGAAATGAAGAAAAGGTCAAGATTTGTAAGGCTTCCATTATTAGGCTAATTTAATTTGTACCATTTAAAAGTGGCTGTTGTTAAATAATTTTACCCGTCTCGGTCTGGGATCAAATTTTTAATTTTCTCCCCGAAGAGCGAGAAATTGTGCAACATCTTCAACTTAAATTATGAATTCTGACGGCTCTGGAGAGATTAACTCGTAGAAAATACAAAATTAGAGCGTTTGAAGTATTTATTTTGATGTTTTTGTGTATTAGTTAGATAGGTATTATTACAATTTGGGGTGTATTTAAGAAGTCTCCCCGCGCGTCGTACCATACCTTTCTTGTAGATCTGGCGCACGCTGGGTAACAATCGGTCGTAACAAGTACCTTATGACGACAGGCAACTGGCGAATCATTTTATCACGACACGATATCGATGGCAAGTATTATAGGGTATGCCATCGATATGACAAGAAGAAGAAGAAGAAGAGGAAGATTACAATTTAATCGGAGTAACGTGAAGTAATGGTAGATTTAAAAGATTTTTTTAACCGACTTCAAAAAAGGAGGATTCGCTCAATTCGACTGTATTTTTTGTGTGTATGTTACGCGATTACTCCGGCCATTTATGGATTCATTTTGAAGATTCTTTTTTTTTTTTGAAAAAAAAAAGTGGGTGCCTCAATATTGGTCCCAATTAAATTTTAAGAAAATATTCCACCTGCAACGATGGCATACTAGGGATAAATCCGGTTTTGCGCACTTTGCAGTTACCCATTTCAATAAAACTTGGCAAATTGATATAATTCCTCGATTTTTTGAGGTCTTTTTTTTATAAAAAGTTATAATTATTAATAATTCAGGTATAATAATGGTAAAAAAGAAATGGTGCAAAAGTTATCATTTTCATAATTCTACAACAAAAAGAGACGCAAAACATATCAACATTTATTTTCTGCTTGTCTTGTAGCTGTAGAGCTCGTTTTGAAAGAGCTCGTTCAGGGTAGTACTGCCACCTTATCTATTTCTGCCGCCAAGCAGTAATGTCAGAATTACTATGTTCCAGTTTTGAAGGGTAAGGGTGCTGATGAAATGACAGGCACATGGGACTTGTCAACTTATGTCTCAGGGTGACGGGCGCAGTGGCAGTGCCCCTCAAATCGTTGCGATTTAAAGCTCTGAGTGGCACTGTGACTGTTATGGACAGACGTGTCGCTTACCATCAGGCGCACGACTTGTTCGTCCCGTCACAAGACGTTTTAAAAAAAAATTACAAACCATCTTCAATATTATCACATTGGCACTGTTAATATAATAGTGTAACTCAAAAAGTGTATTTCTTCAGAATCGATGAGAAACTAACAA